GTTGCTCCACCTCATGTAAATAAGCAAATGTTCAAAAATAAGCCCAACGCTGAGCTGCTCAGCACAGCTTTCACCTTTCATTCCTCCTTCCTCGGTCGATTTCCCTTTTTCTAAAAACACAACTTGGTAAGAGTTAAGCGACACTGGGAATGAAAACTCCATCTTTAGTCGGACAGTATCTTGACGTCATGCTCACCTTTGAACGACAGTTTGATTAGAGGGAGAATTGTGGGCTACAGTTATTTTCTCTTTGCAATATTTAACTACATGCTGGCCTCACCAATTCTGGAAAATTCTCAGCCATTTGTTTAGACTCTGGCTTCTCCAACTCTCTCTAGCCTCTCTTGGTATATCTAGATAGATAGATAGGCACACGTGTGTCTGTATATACAAGGGTGTGAACACACACGCAGACACTCAATCGGTCAGGCTGTCCTCCCGTGTCAGCCTCCCTTCCGCATCTCCATCCCTTGCTGCTTCTCAGCACCCGCCGTGTGACTGAGAGCGGGCCCTGCAGGGAGCCGCCCGGGCTGGATCTCTGACTGCACTGCTCGCCGTGCGGGACTCTGCCATCACTTGTGAGACAGCTAGCAGGGTCAGCCCCCACAGGGCTACTCTGTAAGGGAAACGGAATGATGCAGACTGTGCGCAGCAGCACCTGGTCCTGGACGAGTCACAGAGAATTCTCTTTGTTCTACTGGACCTCCTGTTTGTCTAGCTCAGAGTTTTTAACTCAGAAGTGTTTCAAATCAAGTTTAACTTCAGTTTATAAACTGGAATTTTCTGTATCTTCCTGGTTTATTTTTTTAAGACTTAATTTATTTATTTGAAAGGCAGAGCCCACAGAGAGAGAGACGGAAAAGAAAGAGATCTTCCATCGCCTAGTTCGCTTCCAAATGCCAACATCAGCCGGGACTGAGCCAGGCTGGGAAAAGGAGCCAGGAGCTCCATCCTCGTCTGTCCTGCGGCCATCATCAGCTGCTGCCTCCAGGGCACGCAGGCAGAGAGCTGGACTGCCAGCAGCAGCCGGCACTGACTCAGCACTCCTACATGGGATGTGGGTGTCCCAGATGCTGCCTTCACCTGCTGTGCCACACACCGGCCCTCTTTTCTCTTTTAGAGACACTTTTTATTCTTAAGTGATTTTAGGCTTAAAGAAGAGTTGCAGAGAGAGTATAAAGTCCCAAGGTTCTCTTTCCCAGCTTCCATTGATGTTATCAATTTACATAATCTTGGGACAATTACCAAGAACTTAACTGGAACATTAACATGGCTGACTACTACCTGAACTACAGACTTCAGGAAGTGCCTTCGGAACATTCATGGAAAAGCCACCCTGTACCTGAATTTCTCCTCATCGTCCTCAAGTCTGCTTGCACTCAGTTTTCTCCGGCTTTTCTGTTCCAGTCCTAACGCGGGGGCTCTCCTCCGTGCACTTGCACATCTCCTCCAATCCGGGACAGCGTCTGACCCTCTCCTCTCCTGGAGGCTTCTAAATCTTGGTGGGGTGTCCCACAGCACAGTCCGCAGTGTGGTTTGGCTGCTGGTTTCTCACCAACTAACTCAGGGCGTCTGGGGAGTACCGCCCAGACGCCGCGGCCTCGGCACGCCTGCACCACACCCTGCCTCACCAATGGTGACATAACCTTGAGGACCTGCCGGGTTCCCCTTCCTCATCGGACGCCATCGCTAAGCCCGGCCCACACTCAAGGAAACCCACTAAGCTTTAAACTTTCATTACTACATTTTTCATCTCTCATAGTGCTAATTGCTTTGGTCGTAGTCAAAGTCTTTGCCTACACTTCTGGTTTCTTCTTCTTAAATATATTTATCTTGCAGTCTTACTGCATTTGCCACATTTTCTTGGAGCATTAACCCTGCTTATGCCTGCTACACTAACTCATTTATGATTCTGGACAGTGCCCTACTCCTCCGCGGGCTTGTGCACGAATCACGGGCACCTGGAGTCTGACGGCCTCAGTGTAGCCCTGTGACTGCTTCTGGCAAGCAGAACGCTGGCTTGGCATTAAGTCTGCGCCTTTCTAACTGTGTGGGTTCCGGATGCCAGGGTCAGAGATTTAGACCGAAGCTGCAGACCGCCAGGGCGAAGGCCTCGATTATTCACAAGGTTCCGCTTTCTCTTGGTGCCGACGGCCAGCTGTTACTCTGGTCTCCGCTTTCACTGAGAATGCAGATAGCTGAGGGTGGAGCTCTCAGCAGGCTCCCAGTCCACGCCCCTCACTGGGTGGGCCCCAAACCTCAATCTGTCACCACATCGAAGGGTGAATCCTACCCAGGCAGGGGTGGGAGTCTGGCCTGGTGGGTAACCCTGCAGCTCACACCAGAGCACCTGGGCTCCCACCAGTGCAGTCTGCAGAGAGCAGCCACCACGCTCTGGTGATCTGGCTCCTCACCCGTGGGGCCGCAGCTGCACTCCCGGCGCCGGCTTCACTGCTCCACGGGAACCTGCCCTAGTGCTCTGGGCATCTGGGAGCAACTCAGCGACTAGAACCCTGCTCTCTCTCTGCCTAATGTCTTAAAAATAAAAACATTACAATTAAAAACAAAAAAGAAATCCGACCCAGTAGGTTACTACTGAGGGTGGCTCCTGCATTAGTTCATGAAATTTCTTCTCTAACTCATGGCTCCCTCTTTATTTCTGGCATCCAAAGATCTTAAGTTAGATTTTTATCTGGCATTTCAAGGGATTTGTATCAAGAGAATTTTGTTCTTTTAGTCAACCAACTTGCCAAAAGCCAAAGTGTTCCCTATTTTTTCAACCATTTACTCAGAAAGAGAGGGCGAAAAAACTAAAAACAGGGGCCAGTGCTGTGGTGTAGCAGGTAAAACCCTTGACTGCAATGCCCGCATCCCATATGGGCGCCGGTCTGAGTCCCAGTTGCTCTACTTATGATCCAACTTCCTGCTGCGGCCTGGAAAGCAGCGAAGACAGCCCGTGCGTGGATTCCTGTTACCCTTATGGGAGATCCAGAAAAGGCTCCCGGCTTTCTGACTTCATCCTGGCCCAGCCCGGGTGGTTGTGGCCATCTGGGAGGTAAACCAGCAGAGGGACGATCTCTCTCCATCTCTGTCTCTCCCTCTCTCCTAACTCCATCAAGTAAATAAATAAATAAATCTAAAAACACAAATACAATTCTTTACCTGTTGTTCTTATGCCTTCCAAAACTTCTAAGAGTAAATTCTGAACCCCCATTTTATACACACACACACACACACTCTATAGACATGACCAAGCAAAGCCTTAGGACTGAACCCATTCCGGGCAGTGAAAATCTCTCACGTTGCTGACCATTAAAGAACTGTTAGTGCTAAGTTCTGGCTGCTGTGGCCATCTGGGGAGTGACCCAGCAGGTGGAAGACCTTTCTTCCTCTCTCCCTCCCTCCCTCTCTCTGCCTTCAAATAAATAAATAACTAAACCTTAAAAAACAAAAACTGTTAGTGCTGGTACCTACATGTAATACAAGGTTGTCGCTGGGTGTCCCGGGGGGCTGGGCCAGGACACCCTGTGGGCACCCACGTGCAATACAAGGTTGTCCCTCGGTGTCCCGGGGGGCTGGGCCAGGACACCCTGTGGGCACCCACGTGCAATACAAGGTTGTCCCTCGGTGTCCCGGGGGGCTGGGCCAGGACACCCTGTGGGCACCCACGTGCAATACAAGGTTGTCCCTCGGTGTCCCGGGGGGCTGGGCCAGGACACCCTGTGGGCACCCACGTGCAATACAAGGTTGTCCCTCGGTGTCCCGGGGGGCTGGGCCAGGACACCCTGTGGGCACCCACGTGCAATACAAGGTTGTCGCTCGGTGTCCCGGGGGGCTGGGCCAGGACACCCTGTGGGCACCTACGTGCAATACAAGGTTGTCCCTCGGTGTCCCGGGGGGCTGGGCCAGGACACCCTGTGGGTACCTACATGCAATACAAGGTTGTCCCTCGGTGTCCCGGGGGACTGGGGCCAGGACACCCTGTGGGCACCTACGTGCAATACAAGGTCGTCCCTCGGTGTCCCGGGGGGCTGGGGCCAGGACACCCTGTGGGCACCACAATCTGCAGATGCTCAGGTGCCTTCTACACGGCAGCAGGCCCACCCTGCACGTGACATCATCGTTACATGACTCGCGGCATGAGCACAATGTGATGACGCACAGAGACTTGTTAGACTGCACAGTCTGGACAGGAAAAAAGTCTGCGCATGTTCAATTCAAACACAGTGTTAGAAAAAAACACTTTCGACCTGCAGCTAGCAGAGTGGTGGATGCAGAACCCGCAGACAGGGGGGGACCGTGTGTGTGAACCCAGAAGTTAAGATGGGAAGAGTCCTAACGCAGGAACCAGGATGTGGCATTCAAGTTCCAAGTCGTGACTAGGATGTGTGTGACCTCAAAGACAAAAGTCGCTGATCTCCAGCGTTCTGTGACTGCTTAATTCATAAAGTTACACACTTTGATATTCTTCTTACTCATTTGCTCCCTTGCCATTCAATCTGTCTAGTATTGACAAATAAGTTATTTCAAGTTTTGGTCTTCCTACTAAAACAGCTTCCTAACATGAAAATATGTACAACTGCTAGACACTGAATGTAAGTTTGCTATATGTATTTCTTTTGCTATTAACACTGTAAATGTTAACATTTAGATCTATTTGTTCATGCATTTTACATGCAAATTGGAAAGAAACCTCTCTACTAGTCTATCAATCCAGCTGGACAGAATTCACAGTACAAATTTAATAATCATAAGAAATTAGCCAGGAGACAGCTGTCCTGTCAGGACATACTGTGCACTAAGAAGACAGCAACCGTCCACTCATCCCCAGCCTGGCCTGGGCAGGGGCTTCTGCACGCTTTCTTTTTTGAAGTCTGTACTCATTTCTTCTGAATAAGCACCAAAAATTCTCCATGCTTACCAGCATGTGATTCTTGGACTTCCCCCACTGGCTCACCATGTCAGACACAAAACAAAGTCAAGTTTATCTCATACTTTACCTCTTTTCCGGATCTTTTTGAAGGCACAATGAAATCATTTTTCTAAATGATTTTCCATATTTTTTCAGCATTTCTTTATCTTGAACACCAGTTTCCAAAGACGGAGGATCATTCTGCAGCGTCAGCATTAAAACCTGTAAGAATTTACAATACAGTATAAAGTTCCAGCGACTCAATAAAGTTTAATTAACAACTGTGGACAAGAGTTTTCAAAACAGGCGATCACCACCACAGACAAGCAGATCCGATTTTCTAAAAGTTCACATCTAGGTGAGTCATTTAAATCCAGAGTTATTTATGTGTCTTCCTATATAAATAAAATATTACAGATAACTGGCGTCCCAGACCACCTTTTTTTTTTTTTTTTAAGATTTATTTATTTGAAAGTCAGAGTTACACAGAGAGAAGGAGAGGCAGAGAGAGAGAGATAGAAGTCTTCCACCTGCTTGTTCATTCCCCAATTAGCTGCAATGGCTGGAGCTGCGCCGACCCGAAGTCAGGAGCCAGGCACTTCCTCCGGGTGTCCCACATGGGTGCAGGGGCCCAAGGACTTGGGCCATCTTCTACTGCCTTCCCAGGCCACAGCAGAGAGCGGGATCAGAAGTGGAGCAGCCCATATGGGACGCCAGCACTGTAGGTGCCAGCTTTACCGGCTACTGCCAAAGCACCGCCCCCCCACTAGCTGTAGGGGCCCACTGTATCAACACTGCTAATGTCCTTGAGTTGGATTCTTTCTTTGTATCCTCAATAAATTCCTATTCTACCAAATCACCTAAAAACACACTAAAACCAGAGCAAGACTAGGAGCACGAGCCCGCCGATCGTGCCTGTCAGGGCCCTGTTTTCACTCCGCGTCTGTGAGATGGTCTTCTTTTCCTATTATTCAGGACCCCTAACAGAAATCACCGGGCCGGCGCTGCGGTACAGCAGGTTAAGCTGCCATCCATCACACGGGCATCCCACAGGGGCGCCGGTTTCAGTCCTGGCTGCTCCACTTCCGATCCAGCTCCCTGCTGTGGCCTGGGAAGGCAGCGGAAGATGGCCCAAGTCCTCGGGCCCTGCACCTTAACTCCTGGCCACAGCCTGGGCCAGCCCTGGCCAGCGCAACGTTTGCTGAGTGAGCCAGTAACCGGAAGATAATTCGCGCTCTCGCGCTCTCTGCCCCTCCCTCTAATTCTGCCTTTCAAATCAATGAATAAATCTTTAAAAACAAAAATCACAAAGAAGTCCTGGTAAACAAAGCCGCAGACCGCAGGTCCACGATCTTGCTGTGCTCTGCAGCGGGTGACACTCTTGACTCCCCTGTGCACCCTAAGTCTTCCCTCTCTGAGCTTCTGGGCAGCATGACAGCCTGGTGCAGAGACACGAGGCCAGGAGCTCACGTGTGTGCAGCAGGATGTGGTGGTGTGTGTCCTTCGGCGCTGTTATGCTGGGGTGGCTTTTGGGGCTCAGTGGAGCTAAGCAGATCCTTGGGACAGCCACAGCCCACACTGACCCTCCTGGGATGGAGTCCTGTCTCACAGTCTGACCTCTACTTCCAGAACCCTTTCATGATTTAAAAAAAAATCACTCCACAAACTAAGAATATAAAGTAACTACCTCAACTTAATAAAAGGCATATAAGAAAATCTCACAGCAAACATTATACTTAGTGGTGAAATACTGAAAGCTTTTATTCTAATCTGTCACTCTGCATTTCAAATGAACCTCTAAAAAAAAAAAAACTATGAAAACAAATATATTCATCAAAAAGCAGGATAGAAAGTTAACACAAAAGTCACTTGTGGGGCCGGCACTATGGCACAGTGGGTAAAGCCACCGCCTGCAGTGCCAGCATCCCATGTGGGTGCCGGTTCAAGTCATCGCTGCTCTACTCCCAATGCAGCTCTCTGCTGTGGCCTGGGAAAGCAGTGGAGGATGGCCCAAGTCCTTGGGCCCCTGCACCCACGTGGGAGACCCTGAGGAAGCTGCTGGCTCCTGGTTCCTGGATCCTGGATTCCGATCAGTGCAGCTCCGGCTGTTGCCGCCAACTGGGGAGTTAACCAATGGAAGAAAGACCTCCCCCCCCCACCTTTCTCTCTGCCTCTCCTTCTCATGTAACTCTAACTTTCAGATAAAAAAAAATCTTTAAAAAAAAAAAAAAAAAAAAAACACTTGCATTTCTTTACATTAACAATGAAGAACCTGAAAAGGATTTAGAAAAACAATTCCACTTATGTTAACATCAAAAACAATAAAAAATTCAGGAATTAACTAAAGTACTTGTACACTGAAAACTACAAAATATTCATGAAAGAAATTAAAGATGACAAAAACAAATACAAATATACACTATATTTACAGATTCGAAGACAACATCATTACAATGTCAATACCGTCCAAAGCAGTCTACAGATTCCAAGCAAACTGTACCGAAACCCCAGTGACATTTTTAATAGCAACAGAAAAGCTTATCCTAAAATCTAAATGGAATGTCAAAGGACCCAAACAGTTACAACAATCTTGAAAAGAACACAGCTGGAGGACTGGAACTTTAAAACGTAGTACAGGGGCCAGCACTGTGGTATCCTGGGTAAAGCCACTGCCTGCAGCGCTGGCATCCCATACGGGCACCAGTTTGAGTCCCGGCTGCACCACTTCCCATCCCGCTCTGCTGTGGCCTGGGAAAGCAGCAGAAGACGGCCAAGTCCTTGGGGCCCTGCAGCCACGTGGGAGACCTGGAGGAAGCTCCTGGCTCCTGGCTTCGGATCGGCACAGCTCCGGCCATTGCAGTCAACTGGGGAGTGAACCAGCGGATGGGACACATCTCTCTTTCTCTCTCTCTCTCTGCTGCTCCTTCTCTGTGTAACTTTGACTTTCAAATAAATAAATAAATCTTTAAAAAGAAGTGGTACAAATCCACAAGAATCCAAGAGTACGGTGCTGGCGTAAGGACAGGTGTGTAGATCAATGGAGCAGAAAAGTGAGAAACAATCACTCATCAGGCGACTTCTGACAAGAACAGCAAGAGCCTTCAATGAGGCGGAGACAGTCTTCCAACAAGCGGAGCTGGGAAAACGGATGAATCCACACGCAGACTGAAGCTCACCTCTCGCCTCACATCATATGCAAAAATCAACTCAAAGTGGGTCAAAGACCTAAGTGTACAACCTAAACCATTAAAACTCTCAAAAAACACACACAGGGCAAACTTTACAATATTAGACTTGTCTTGAATATGACATCAAAGATGAAAAAATACGTAAACCAAGCTTCACCAGATTTAAAGCTTCGGGGACGCTGTCCTGTCTGGTGGTCACGAGGCTGCCTGGCCCCTGCATCCCCCCAGAGTCCCGGCTCCGGCCCGGCTCCAGCCTCCTGCTGACCCACACCCTGGAAGGCAGCGGGCGATGCCTCCGACAGCTGGGTCCTGCCACCTCCGGGGGAGCCTGGGCTTGACTTCCGTCCCCCAGCTGTGGCCCCGCCCTGCCCCAGCCACTGCGGGCTTCTGAGGAGTGAACCAATGGATGGCAGTGCGCGTGCACACTCGCTTTCTCTGTCCCCCAAATAGTAAAATAAAAGTTTCTTTAAAAATTAAAATTTTGTACATCAAAAGACGCTATCAACAGTGTGGAAAGGAAATCCACAGGAGAAAATATTTGCCAACCATGTATCTGATAAGAGATCAATGTCAAGAATATATAAGAACTCCTAAAATCAACAATAAAAAAACCAAACTGAGTCAAACCAGGGCGAAGGAGTTGAGCAGACATTTTGCTAAGGAAGATACATGGCAAAAAGTACCTGCAGAGACGTTCAGTATCACTGACCACTAGGGAAACGCAAACCAGAATCACAATGAAATCCACCTCATACAATCAGGTGGCTTCCGGCCAACACCACCAAGTGTTGGTGAGCACACAGAGAAATCAGAAACCCTGGACAGTGCTGAGGCAAGCGTAAAATGGTGTAGCCACTGCAGAACACCACAGGCTGCTCCCCAGGAAGCCAGAACACAAGTAGGAGGGGAGGGGAGGGGAGGGGGGGAGGGGAAGGGAGGGGAGGGGAGGGGAGGGGAGGAGGGGAGGGGAAGGGAGGGAGGGGAGAGGAGGGGAGGGGAAGGGAGGGGAGGGGAGAGGAGGGGAGGGGAAGGGAGGGGAGGGGAGGGGAAGGGAGGGGAAGGGAGGGGAGGGGAGGGGAGAGGAGGGGAAGGCAGGGGAGGGGAAGAGAAAAGAGAGGAGGGGAGGAGGGGAGGAGGGGAGGGGAGGGATGGACAGGGGAGAGGAGGGGAACAGGGGAGGGGAGGGGAGGAAAGGGGAAGAGAAAAGAGAGGAGGGGAGGGATGGGGTGGGGAGGGGAGGGGAGAGGAGAGTAGGAGGGGAGGGGAGGGGAGGGGAGGGAGAGGAGGAGGGGAGGGATGGTGAGGGATGGGGAGGGGAGGAGAGGGGAAGGGAGGGGAGAGGAGGAGGGGAAGGGAGGCAAGGGGAAGAGAAAAGAGAGGAGGGGAGGAGGGGAGGATGGGAGGAGGGGAGGAGGGGAGGGAAGGGATGGACAGGGGAGAGGAGGGGAACAGGGGAGGGGAGGGGAGGAAAGGGGAAGAGAAAAGAGAGGAGGGGAGGGATGGGGTAGGGAGGGGAGGGGAGAGGAGAGGAGAGGAGAGGAGGAGGGGAAGGGAGGGATGGAGAGGGGAGAGGAGGGGAACGGGGGAGGGGAGGGGAAGGAAGAGGAGGGAAGGGGGAGGGAAAGGGAGAGGAGAGTAGGAGGGGAGGGGAGGGGAGGGGAGGAAAGGGGGAGGTAGAGGAGAGTAGGAGAGAAGGGAGGAGAGGAGGGGGAGGAGAGGAAGAGGGGAAGGAAGGGGAGAGGAGAGGAGGGGGAGGGGAGGAGGGAGGGGGAGGGAAGGGGAAGGAAGGGGAGAGGAGAGGAGAGGAGGGGGAGGGGAGGAGGGAGGGGGAGGGAAGGGGAGAGGAGAGGAGAGGAGGGGGAGGGGAGGAGGGAGGGGGAGGGGAGGGGCGGGGAGGAAAAGACAAAACTTGGGAAGGGTGGCAAAGAAGACAGGCTCTAAACGGAACCGGGCCTTGCGACGGCAGGCACTGTGAAAGCGGGCCTCACCTTCATTGGCGGGTACTTATGATACGGAGCGGCCCCTGTGGCCAGTTCAATTGCCGTGATGCCAAAACTCCAGATATCAGCTTTGAAGTCATAGCCTCGGACCTGCGAGAACAGACAGCGTGTGATTGCGCCTACCACAGCAGAGCACTTCTGAGAGTTTGACACGAATCAAGAGTGTTCGCAAACTGTAAACCAACAAAACAATCTGAAGAATGCAAAAGCTAAATACACTCGGTATGAGGGAAAAAGGCAATTTCAATGCTTGCCAACAGTGGAGAAATTCTATACTCACTTCAGAGAATCTTAGTTAACTAAAGCAATGTTTATGAATTCTGCATGAAAATATGGACAACTGATTTTTACAAAATACTTACAAAATATGAAATTGTAAGTTTTAAAACTTTGGATCTCTGAGATAATCCTATTACTTTATTTATTTGACACGCAGAAATAGACGGACACTGGCAGTTTTCATCCTCTGGATCAGTTCCACACCTCCCCCAACAGCCAAGGTCGTGTCAGGCCAAAGCCAGTCCGTGACTCTCCAGGTTTCCCACGCAGGTGGCAGGCCCACCGTCACCTGCTGCCCCCAGAGTGAGCACCAACCATAAGCTGGGACTGGGAGAGGAGCCAGGACTCAAGCCCCCGCACTCCATGGTGGGATGCAGGTCCCTTAACTGGCATTGCAACCACGAGGCCAACACCTGTCCCTGCTCCTAGGTCTCGAGACAATTACAAACAGGTACATACTCCAGTTAAAAAGAGATGAGAAAGAACTAAAAATTCCCACAGTGGTAGTAACTGTTTGGGGTCCCTGATGTTCTGTGTATGGTATTTCATCACCTTAACCTCTAAAATGAAAAACTTACAAAGGGTGTGAATGTTATAGAACTGCTGACGGCACTTTACTGACAGATTTGCCTCCTTCTATACTGCCAACAGCATGTGCTTCTAAATTTAAATGCTCCACGCTACATGCAGGAGGTAACGGGTTTGGCAGCGCTGCCTTAAGACGGAGGCCCCACGTTCGTGCTGCCTTAAGACGGAGGCACCTGGCGAGACAGCAGTGCAAGACTCCTGCTCAGCAGCCCGCAGCCCTCGCAGCCCCGCTCATCCCTCGCAGGGCTCAGCCACGGCTGCGGAGCCGACCGCCAGCGCCCCTTGCTCCTCTGCTCGCGGGTGCAGTGTGTACCCCCACTGTGTACGCGTGGGACTGAGAACACGCCCTCATCCTCATCTGTGCCGTCAGACGACGTGTGCCCAGCGTCCCCATCGTCCTCATCGGAACAGTGAGTTCAGGTCTCCACACACTGGGCTCGGAACACCTGGGAGATGTCTACGTAAAGCAGCCTAAGAGAAATGGGGACGGAAACACCAGTCCGCAGACTCAGCAAACGAGGCGGCTTGAATGTAATTCAGAAACCATCAGGAAGCAGAGCACGGATCGAAGTGTCAAGGCCCCGAGAAGAGCAGGACAGCCAGGGAAGGGGTGAGGAGGGCTGCAGGGAAGGCGAGCCGGAGGAGGCCGGCAGGGAAGGGGTGAGGAGAGCTGTGGGGGGCAGGGAAGGGGTGAGGAGGGCTGCGGGGGGCAGGGAAGGGGTGAGGAGGGCTGCGGGGAAGGCGAGCTGGAGGAGGCCAGCAGGGAAGGGGTGAGGAGGGCTGCGGGGAAGACGAGCTGGAGGAGGCCGGCAGGGAAGGGGTGAGGAGGGCTGCGGGGAAGGCGGGCCAGAGGAGGCCAGCAGGGAAGGGGTGAGGAGGGCTGCGGGGAAGGCGAGCCGAGTCAGAGGAGGCCGGCAGGGAAGGGGTGAGGAGGGCTGCAGGGAAGGCGAGCCAAGTCAGAGGAGGCCGGCAGGGAAGGGGTGAGCAGGGCTGCGGGGAAGGCGAGCCGAGTCAGAGGAGGCTGGCAAGTGGATGGAGCGGGGGTGCCAGCGGTCTCCCACGCACCAAGAGGTGAGAAGCAGTAAGAAATGAGCCCTGTTTGAGAAGCAGCAGTTTCCTTAAAGGAGGGGTGCGCTCACACCCAGCCACAGCAGCTGGGGACGCATCCTTCCAGGACAGAGCCGTGAGGACGCGGTCCTTCCAGGACAGAGCTGTGAGGACGCATCCTTCCAGGACAGCCGTGAGGACGCATCCTTCCAGGACGGAGCCGTGAGGACGCGGTCCTTCCAGGACAGAGCCGTGAGGACGCGGTCCTTCCAGGACGGAGCCGTGAGGACGCGGTCCTTCCAGGACGGAGCCGTGAGGACGCGGTCCTTCCAGGACAGAGCCGTGAGGACGCATCCTTCCAGGACAGCCGTGAGGACGCATCCTTCCAGGACAGAGCCGTGAGGACGCGGTCCTTCCAGGACAGAGCCGTGAGGACGCATCCTTCCAGGACAGCCGTGAGGACGCATCCTTCCAGGACAGCCGTGAGGACGCATCCTTCCAGGACAGCCGTGAGGACACGGTCCTTCTAGGACAGCCGTGAGGACGCGGTCCTTCCAGGACGGAGCCGTGAGGACCGCAGGGGAGCAGACGCAGGCACGTCACCGTGCGAAGGAATTACCAAGGCAACCGTGCCCGACCACTCCTCAGGCTGCTGCGGGCAAGTAAACCCTGCGCTCACAGCCCTTGTAAAGCTCTAGATGGTGTTGTGTTTTGTTTTTAAGGGTAAAGTCTTAACCAAAGAAGAGACATGTATTTCCCAGAGCTAACATGGTAAATCAAGCGAGAGCAAATACGACTAAGACTGTTCGGCTTCGTAACCAGCCTGGAACCGCTGTAGAGAGACAAGGCACGCGGCACACGGTACCTGCTCCATCACTTCAGGTGCCATCCAGCAAGGGGTGCCCACAAACGTCTTCCTCACTTTATTCCGGGTGATGTCACCGCCGGTTGCCAGAAAAGCACTAACTCCAAAGTCTGAAAGAGAATGTGCCAGGAAGACAGGAACAGCACAGTGAATACATTAACACCAGGAAAGCAGCACGACGCGGCCACTGGCCCACACGCACGGCAGATGGCCACTTCTCTTCTGTTAGCTGGAATTTCAGATAGATCAAGGCACCGCCTCAGGTTCCTCACTCCATTAACTCAGATTTGACTCCTTGCTCACACCCACCCTACATACTACTTACCAGATTCATTCATTTTCTGGTGATCGCTTTTTTTTTATAAAGATTTATTTATTTCAAAGGCAGAGTTACAGAGAGAGGGAGAGACAGAGAGAGATCTTCCATCTGCTGATTAATTTCCCAAATGGTCGCAATGGCCAGCACTGGGCCAGGCTGAGGCCAGAAGCCAGTAGGTTCTTCCAGGTCTCCCACACGGGTGCAGGGCCCAAGGACCTGGGCCATCCTCCACTGCTCTCCCAGGCCACGGCAGAGAGCTGGATCAGAAGGGGGGCAGCCAGGACTCAACCTGGCTTTACCTATTACACCACAACACTAGTCCAATTATTACTTTGACATGGTCACTGCAGCTCAAAAAACCCTAAAGAATCCAATCAATTCTTTATAGAATCCAATCAATCCTTTATAGAATCCAATCAATCCTTTATAGATTGGCATTCAAAAAGTTCTCAAGAACTTGGTCCAGAACAAATGTAGTAATCCTAATTGTATATCCTCATTTGCCAACAGATGTGTGACACTGGTAACTCAGCTCACCCAGGTCTCAAGAATCTTTCTACAAAGAAGTTAACCCCCAACGCTGAAGCCAAGGTACCAGCCCCTGCCGCGGAGGGCTGCCTGTCCCACACCGCTCGGCTGCCTGTCCCGCACCGCTCCTCGGCCTGTCCCGCACCGCTCCTCGGCCTGTCCCGCACTGCTCCTCGGCCTGTCCCTGCCGCGGAGGGCTGCCTGTCCCGCACCGCTCCTCGGCCTGTCCCACACCGCTCCTCTGCCTGTGGGACTGAACCTGGGCCTGCATCGGTGCTCTCTGACCTCGGCTCTCACGAGCACGGCTGATCTGAGCCAGGGCGAGACACCTCGCTCCAAGCAGCCCGAGCACAGGCTCCCGGAGGTCTGCAGCCGGGGCGGAGACACAAGCACCGGGCTCCCGGAGCCGAGCCACAGCCAGAGCTGCGCCCTCCAGGTCCGCACAGCGGCTGCCTGCCTGCGAGGCCTCGCTGCTCAGGGAACTGGCTCTGTGTGCCCCCAGCACACTGAAGAAATCCCCCTTGGTGAAGCTAGCCAGTGACAACCCCTGATTCCTAACATAATGCAGGTTTTCTACATCGTATCGGAGTCTCTTTGTTCTCGATTTCAGAATATTCTGTAGCATGTAAAATGAGTCTGTATTTGAAAACAGAATACCTGTGGACAAGCCCAGTGGGAGACAGACACTTTTAGCACTGCACACTCTGCAACTCCAGATCCAGAAGTCTGTGAACTCAGCCCTTGTGGAGCAAGTATTGTCACAGTATAAAACAGCAAGTCTACACAAGATGGACTTAAAAAATAAATGAATAAATAAATAGACTTATTTACGGGGCCAGCGCTGTGGCGTAGCGGGTGAAGCCACTGCTTGCAGTGCCACCATCCCATATGGCGGCCAGTTCTAGTCCCGGCCGCTCCGCTTCCCATCCAGCTCTCTGCTTAGGCCTGGGGAAAGCAGCAGAAGATGGCCCAAGTTTTTGGGTCCCTGAACCCACATGGGAGACCTGGCTTCAAATTGGCTCAGCTCCAGCTGTTGCAGCCATCTGGGGAGTATACCAGTGGATGGAAGACCCCCCTCTCTCTAACTCTGCCCTTCAATAAATAAATATTTAAAAAGAAGATTTATTATCTGAAAGGCAGAGCAGGAGAGGCACGGAGGGAGACAGAGCTCTCTCTGCTGATTCTCTTCCCAAACGGTCACAGCCGAGAGCCAGGAACTGCATCTGGGTTTCCTACGTGGATGGCTGGGGCTCACTGGTGCATCCTTCGCTGACTTCCCAGGGGCATCAGCAGGACCTGGATCAAAAGTGGAACAGGGGCTGGCACTGGCGAAAAGGTTAAGTCTCCACTTGCAATGCCAGCATCCAAAATGGATGCTGGTTCAAGTCCTGGCTTCTTCACTTCCTATCCAGCTCCCTGCTAATTCACCTAGGAAAGCAGCAGAAGATGGCCCAGGTCCTCGGGCCCTTGCTCCTGGCTTCAGCCCTCCTTCTATCTCTGCCTTTCGAATAAAGAAATAAGTCTTTAAAAAAAAAAAAACACAGTGGAGCAGCTGGGATCAAAGTGGCCTCCAATACTACAAGCAGTGGCTTAGCAGTGTGCGCCCTCAGCAGAAGCAATCTCGGGCAGCTGTGTGGCCCAGCGGTTGAGTGGCATCCCTGTCTACCTGGGTTCGAAGCCAGCTCTGACATCTAATTGCAGCTGCTTGCTAACGCAGGCCCTAAGAGGCCGCAGTGATAGCTCAAGCAGCTGGGGTCCTGCCACTCAAGCGGGAGACCTGGGCTGAGTTCCTAGTTCCGAGCTCCGGACCCCCAGCCCCTGCAGGAATTTCGGGAGTGAGCCAACAACGGGAGTGCACTCACATTCTTGCTCTCTAATAAATAAATAAAAATAAATTTCAAAATCCTTACTTTAAAAATAATCTTTTTTTTCCTTTCCTTTTTTTTTTTTTTTAATTTTTGACAGGCAGAGTGGACAGTGAGAGAGAGAGACAGAGAGAAAGGTCTTCCTTTGCCGTTGGTTCACCCTCCAATGGCCGCCGCCAGGTGCTTCTCCTGGTCTCCCATGGGGTGCAGGGCCCAAGCACTTGGGCCATCCTCCACTGCACTCCCTGGCCACAGCAGAGAGCTGGCCTGGAAGAGGGGCAACCGGGACAGAATCCGGTGCCCTGACCAGGACTAGAACCTGGTGTGCCGGCGCCGCAAGGCGGAGGATTAGCCTAGTGAGCCGTGGCGCCGGCCTAAAAATAATCTTAATGTTCTAATACTTCTAAACTATCTAGGAACTTTAAAATGTTCATTTGTAGCAACAACAAACAAGTCGGGGTCAGTGTAGTGGTTCAGCAGGTAAGGCCATGCCTGCAGTGTCCGCATCCCACATGGGCCACAGTTGGAACCTGGATGCTCCACTCCAACCCAGACCCCTGCTAATGTGCACGGGAGGCAGTGGAAGACAACTCAAGTCCTTGGGCCGCTGCACCCCCATGGCAGACCCAGAAGAAGCTCCCGGCTTAGGATCAGTCCAGCACCGGCCACTGCAGCCATTTGGGAATGAACCAGCATATGGAAGAGCCCTCTCACTCGCTCACTCTGTAACTCTGCATTTCAAATAAATAAAATAAAACCTTAAAAGAAATAAAAAGGAAACAACACTTGAAAGTGCCTTTGAGGGGAACGAGAGCTCCCAGAGGGCACTCTCCGCCCAGCAGGTAGACTTGGCACGTCCTGTCTTTGCTGCACAACGGCTGTGTCTGCAGGCAATGCACAGGCACAGGGCCCACCCAGGAGGCTGCTGCGGATCAAGTGAATTAACAACCTGAGAGTACTCCCTGTAACCCACCACGCATCCAATACTTACTAGGTATTATTACAACCAGCTAGCGGGGAAAACTATACTATGTCTTAAAACACTTAACTATAATAATAAAGATGCAGTCAAATCACAAACAATACATTGTCAGGTTTAGTTGGGCGATTCTTTTGAATTTTAAAACCAAGTAGCTTTCACGTATGTAGCATTTTACATTAGGAACATAATAATGACCCAGACTTCTGGACCGCCAGAGGCTGTGCACCTGCTGGCTTCCAATTACAACCAACCAAGCCGACAGACTGTAGCTCCAGCATCAGCTAAGGAGTGTGAATGACAATGCCAAAGAAACAGTCAATCCACACATAAAGCTAAGAACAGATTCAAGGGCAGGTGCTGTGGCATAATGGGTACAGCCGCCACCTGCAGTGCCTGAATCCCATAAGGGCGGGGTTAGACGCTCCTGGCTCCTGATTGGCACAGCTCCGGCCACTGCAGCCATCTGGGGAGTGAAGCAGCGATGGAAGACCTCTCTCCCTCCCTCCCTCCCTCTCTCTCTGCCTCTACCTCCCTGTAACTCTGCCTTTCAAATAAATAAGTACCTCTCTCCCTCTCTAACTAAAAAAAAAAAAAATGAAAAAATTAAAAAATAAAAGACAAAAAACATTAAAAAATATGCTTTTCAAAAAAAGTGATAAGCTGTTCCTGTTTTGATAAACGAAGTTGCCAATTTAAAGGACTTGAATTTATCAATATTTACTTCTATGTTAGGCTTTCTTTAAGATTTTATTTATTTGACAGGTAGAGTTACAGACAGTGAGAGAGAGAGACAGAGAGAAAGGTCTTCCTTCTGTTGGTGCACTCCCCAAATGGCTGCAGCTGCGCTGATCCGAAGCCAGGAGCCAGGTGCTTCCTCCTGGTCTCCCATGGGGTGCAGGGCCCAGCATTCGGGCCATCCTCCACTGCCTTCCCAGGCCACAGCAGAGAGCTGGCCTGGAAGAGGAGCAGCCGGGACTGGAACCGCCGCCCACGTGGATGCCTGCGCACGGTGCCGGCCCCCATGTTAGATCTTTATGCAGCATTAGAAAGTACTGCCTTCCTCTTGGCTGCAGCGCCGTCTTCTTGAAAGCCTCTGCGTGTCAGAGCCTCGTGGGGCAGGACCGAGTGCAGAGGCTGAAGTGCACAGTGAGGAGGAGGAGAGGTCAGGTGAAGGCTGGGCTGGGCACCGCAGCCAGGAGAGGTGGCGGCCCGGGGACTGCCTGCTACTCTCTACAACGTGTCTTGAAAGATCTGGAACTACGATCGCTAACACGTCGGAGAAACCACCTATGAGACCACTTTGCTGACACCGAAACACAGCCCCTGGCGGCCTCTGCCTGGGCCTGGGCCACTCCGGACTAGTTCCTCTGTGAGTCGAAATCAAAATGGAGTGAGTGCGGCTAAAAGCTAACTGCTGTACATATTAGCTCTGCTTGCTAACGGCTAAGGGTGCATCTTGTGGAACTATGTGGGCCCAAGTCCCACGAACTGCGCCCTGCACTGTTACGCTACAACCGTATCTGGGGTCTGTTATTGTTACCTGTTATCTCACAAGCATAGTCTGGGCTTTCTGCTGTTGATCACTGCATACCAGGGGTGGAAACTGTGAGCCCTAGGGGACAGAGCACTAGAAACAGCTGTGTGAGCCCTGCTGGGGCCGCGCTCTGGCGGCATGTTGGTCCCGACAGTCTGCCGCTGCCCTGCCTCTCCTTCAATACTTTCACGTGTGACTGTCACTGGTGTCTGTGGTCCTGTTTTAGCTGACGAGTGCATACGACACCTTTATCAGTCGTGGCCAAGTGTAACACAAGTACAATAAATCGTCTCTTCTGCCATTTAGCACAAAAATAAAATAAAAAGCACTATCTTACCTCAAGGACATGAAGATGCTTGTCTAAATTACCATCTAACAGCTGAGGAAGTAATTTACGATTTGTGTGGCTTACGAACTGAGTGTCCTACAACCCGAGAGGAAGCTGGTCTGACTGAGGCAGCTTCCCGGCCGTGACGGAGTCCCAGCCTGGACTCCAGCTCTTGACCGACCCTTCAGTGCGGCCACTGAGCCTAGCACACGTCCGCTCCCCAGGCACTCTCCTGACACAGGCCACGCCCAGCACAGGTGCGGCCTCACTCACCACCCCCCCGCACAGGAAAGCACAGAGCGGCAGGACCCACGGCAGCCCTGAACGCTGGAAGGCAAACAGAAGATCAGGACTGAAGGCGACTGCAGGAAGCCCTGAGTCGGCAGGGACGAGCCGGCACTGGGCGCCTGGTTCGAGGGACGCAGCAGCAGGCCCCACCACTGACCAAAACCACGAACACCAATTACCTGCAATCTGCACTGATCCATCTTCTCCAAGAAGAATATTTCCAGCTTTCACATCTCTTTAAGAAAAAAAAGTTGCATATTAAAAACACCTATTATGTACAATATAATTTAGTTGTTTACTAAGTTTATAGAATGTTAATAATATTTAACCATTCCTTTTTGTTTTAAAAGATATTAAGACCAAGAGTTAAAATTTTAAAATGTTTGGTCACTTGAAAAGTTTACAGAAACATAAAATGACTATATGTTTATTTTGGTGCAAAAACATTTTGAAATCTACACACAGTAGTTTATAATACACACTTCCATGGGCTTCTCCAAGAACACTCGTACGTATGGATTTCAAAATCCTTGTATCAAAATAAACTTATAATTCTACGTTCCATGAACTCTGAGGTACCTTCACTTAAAATCCAAACACTAAACAGAAAGCCACAATAAGGTACAGCTCTCACTGTAATATCTAGAAAACCCAAGACGATTCCACATTCTTCATTAGGATACCAGTAGCTGAAAGGTGTCATGTCAGCTACCACAAACTAATTCTACACTTTAAATATACTTTTTTCTATATCAACTAAACACTAAAAAAAAATCAGACTGCTTGCTCCCTGCTGCCCCAACTCCCACACCTCACCTAATTGATCAGAAAAAAACTTTAATTGGCATTTGAGTGTCAGAGAGTGAGTGACTCTCTCTTCTCTCCTCTCTCTCTCTCTCACACACACACACACACACACCCCTAGGAGGATGCTGGCGCTTCAGGCCAGGGTGCTAACCCACTGTGCCACAGCCCGGCCCCTTGTTTAGTACTATTTCAAGTGTTAACAGCCGAATTATCACATATGTACCTATGACATATCTGGACACATCTCCCAACAGAAGTGACATACCGTCCACTCAATCTACAACCTATTTCCCACACAGTGATACGAACAGTGTGGTGGTAGTCGTATTGGTGGTAGTAGTGGCAGCAGTACCTGAACACAGTAAAAATTTCTAGGAGTAGCAAATCCGTTTCTTCATACCCTAGAAAAATTCTCACAACGTACAAGGATTCTACTGCAACACTGTATTAATAAAACATGGTAACAATATAGGAAAACAATAGTAGAAAGGTTAAATTCATAGCTAAATCCAAGAACTAGAACAATCAACATATGTGACAAGACACACTAACACCTACAGTTAAGTAAACAAATCAAACAGGAAGGCAGTGTATTTACGACAAAACTAATGTAATGGGGCCAGAGCTGTGGCGTAGCAGGTAAAGCCGCCGCCTGCTGTGCCAGCATCCAATATGGGTGCCAGTTCAAGTCCCTGCTGCTCCACTTCCCATCCAGCTCTCTGCTGTGGCCTGGGAAAGCAGTAAAAGATGGTCCAAGTCTGTAGGCCCCTGAACCCTCTTGGGAGACCGGGAAGAAGCTCCTGGCTTTGGATCAGTGCAGCTCCAGGCTGTTGCAGCCATCTGGGAAGTGAACCAGCAGATGGAAGACCTCTCTCTGTGTGCCTCTCCTCTCTGTAAGTCTGTCTTTCAAATAAATAAATAAATGTTTCAAAAAAAACCGATGTTATACAAACATACTCCTTTCTACACTCATATATACCTACTAGAGAGCAAGGAAAACTTCCTTTTATATAAATGGATGGGATCAGCTCTCTGCTACATCCTGGGAAAGCAGTAAAAGCCCGACTCCTTGGCCCTCTGCAGCCACGTGGAAGACCCAGAAGAAGCTCCAGGCTCCTGGCTTCAGATCAGCCAGCTTGCAGCCATCTGGGGAGTGAACCAGTGGATAGAAGACCTCTCTCTGTCTCTCTGTCTCTCTGTCACTCTGTCGGAAGGAAGGAAGGAAGGGAGGGAGGGAGGGAGGGAGGGAGGAAGGAAGGAAGGAAGGAAGGAGGGGGAAGGAAGGAAGGGGGAAGGAAGGAAGGAAGGGAAGGGGAAGGAAGGGGAAGGAAGGAAGGGGAAGGAAGGAAGGGGGAAGGAAGGAAGGGGGAAGGAAGGGGGAAGGGAAGGGGAAGGAAGGAAGGGGGAAGGAAGGGGAAGGAAAGGGGAAGGAAGGGGGAAGGAAGGGGAAGGAAGGGGGAAGGGAAGGGAAGGGAAGGGAAGGGAAGGGAAGGGGAAGGGAGGGGAGGGGAAGGGAGGGAAGGGAGGGGGACGGGAGGGGAGAGGAGGGGGAGGGGAGGGGGAGGGAAGGGAAGGGAAGGGATCAAAGTTAAGGGAGTAATTTAAGTATCTTTCTGGAATGTACTCACATGGTCATTTTGTAATTAAAACAAAAAGAAAGGCCATCTTGGAGCTCAGAGGAGAGAGAAGCAAGGCCGGCTGGGGGGAAGGCCTTGTTTGCCGTGGACAGGAGCCAGTGAAATGCACACTTCGTCCTCTCTGGTCCCCTTTCCCTCTACTTTTAGATGGCCCAGGCTGGCCCAGGCCAAAGCCAAGTGCCAGGAACTCCACCCGCTCTCCCGCATGGATGGTAGAGGCCTAAGCACTCGGGCCATCTGTGCTGCTTTCCCGGATGACTGGAAGGGAGCAGCCAGGACTGGGACTCAAATCAGCACTCATACTGGATGCTGGCTTAACTCAAGGTGCCACAACACGGGCCCAGGCTGTTTAACCGCTTCTGACCCGCTGGCTATGAACTGGCCCCTAGTCAGGCTCCTGGCTTCAGCCTGGCCCAGCACTGCCACCTGGGAGTGAACCGGCAGACGGAAGCTCGCTCTCCTAGCGACTGCGTGGAGCACACAGGGGGCACTCTCCAGCGGACTGGCTCCTCTGACGCACACGGATCACCGGCCACCATGCTCTTCTGTTCTCTCTTCAGGGTCTTTTCCCTCAGCTTAACTTAAATTTTCTAAAACTGTTTCAGAGTTTGGTACTTTCAGTCTAGCCCTGAAGAAAACTAATCTATCTAACACCCCATCATGAGCTTTTGCTAGAAAATCATCACATGCTCCTTACGTGTCTATAAAAAATGGCCTCTAATTGTATTCACGTATAATTTAGTTGCCCAAGTTCTTGAACAAAAGCACTGTCTTTCACTACGGAGACCGCTAGGTACGGCAAAACCACTTCTGAGATGTGACAAAAAGGCAGTGGAGACGGGTAAGAGCTTCAGAAAAAAGCAAGCCGGGTGGAGGATCCGCTCTGGTACCACCGGATGAGAGCGAGTTTCCCACGAGCTGAGCCTGTCTCAGCTGTCTGGACGACACAATCTCCATTCCTATCTTGAGTGGCGGGTGGTGAAGCGCCCTGGAGCATAGGGTGGCCTGGCGGGGGCGCCCTACCGCCCACGGTAAGATCACTAGCGAGTTCCATGGGTCTGGGGTTATGCCAGCCATCTCATCAAATTTCTTTATTGAGGGTTGTAGGTGTGTTTACTTAAGAAATGAAAAAAGACAAGATTGATGAGACAAACATTTGAAGGCAGCACACTCCAGCCAACTGTTATCAGGTGGTGTTTCTAAAAGTCCAGAATACTTTGAACCTAATTTACCAGACTTGGGAATTTTCAATATGGTCTAACTATTTACTCAAAGACAGAGACATGAAAACTTCAGGAAACCTTACAAACCTTGTCCACCATGGACTTAAAGAATAATACTGGGAGGGGCCGCGCTGTGGTGCAGTAGGTTAATCCTCCGCCTGCGGCGCCACCATCCCATATGGGCACCGGTTTTAGTCCTGGCTGCTCCTCTTCCAGGCCAGCTCTCTGCTGTGGCCTGGGAAGGCAGTGGAGGATGGCCCAAGTGCTTGGGCCCCCGCACCTGCAGGGGAGACCAAGAAGAAGCTCCTGGCTCCTGGCTTCGGATCGGCACAGCTCTGGCTGTTGCAGCCATTTGGGGAGTGAACCAACGGAAGGAAGGCCTCTCTGTCTCTCCCTCCCACTGTCTGTAACTACCTCTCAAATAAATAAATAAAATCCTAAAAAAAAAAAAAATAATAACAATAATAATAATACTAGGGTTAGTGCTGTGGCGTAGTGAGTAAAGCCACCACCTGTGAGACTAGCATCCCACATGTGTCCCAGCCGCTCCAGTTCCAATCCACTCCCCTGCTAATGTGCCTGCACAGGCAGTGGAGGATGGCCCAAGTACTCGGGCCCCTGCCACACACGTAGGAGACCTGCAAGTGGTTCCTGGCTCCTGGCTTTGTCCTGGCCCAGCGCTGGCTGTTGCAGCTATCTGGAGGAGGGAACCAGCAGACGGATCATCTCTAATTCTGACTTTCATATAAATAATTAAATCCTTAAAAGAAAAAGACAATACTTAGAAGGATTAACCAGAAATCAGGGTTTGATAGAAAACTTAAGACGACTTGCCATACATTCTTCTCACTTAACATTTTAGCTTTCTAACACATGCTCTGAGTATACCATCAAGTTGTGTGTGTGTGTGTGTGTGTGTGTTTAAGATTTTATTTATTTATTTGAGAGTTAGAGTTACAGACACAGAGAGAGGCCTTCCATCTGCTGGTTCACTCCCCAAATGGCCGCAATGGCCAGAGCTGGACCGATCCAAAGCCAGGAGCCAGGAGCTTCTTCTAGGTCTCCCACGTGGGTGCAGGGGCCCAAGGGTTTGGGCATCTTCTGCTGCTCTCCTAGGTCACAGCAGAGAGCTGGACCAGAAGAGCAGCAGCCGGGACAGGCACCGGTGCCCGTATGGAATGCCGACGCTGCAGAAAGAAGCTTAACCTACTATACCACGGCCCAGCCATACCATCAAGTTTTAACATTTTTTAAAAAATCACATCAATGATACTAAAAGCTCACTTTATATTTGTTTTATATGTTTAAATAGTTGCAATTGCTTAAAAATGACAATTTAAAATGTTGCTTGCGATACGGTTTTGCCTGCTAATTCTCAATATTTTGTCATCTGTTTTATCTCTTTGTACACGCTTTGTCCCTGTCGTGTTTCAGTCCACCACCCAGTTTTGCTGCTGAAATCGCACAACTGTGAAGGCTTTGCCTTTGCCTCTGTTTCACTGTGTTAGCTCCGTATTGAGTATCTCAAGTACTGTGGAAAGATGGTGCTTCTTCCTTTAAGATTTGTT